TTTTTTTTTTTTTTGTCTCTCATTTATTTCTGCTCTGATCTTCACTGTTTCTCTGCCTCCTGAGTACCTAGGATTACAGGCATGAGCCACCAATGCCCGACACTTTCTACATTTTTATGTAGGCATTTACTGTTACAAGCTTGTCTCTTAGTACCCTTTTGTGCGTTTGTGGGTTTTGGTACACTGTGTTTCCGCTTTCATTTGTTTTAAGAAATTTTTACTTCCCCTTTTAATGTCTTCTTGGACCCACTGGCTGCTCAGGAAAATGCCATTTAACTTCCACATATTTACATGACTTCCAGTGTTCCTTCTGAAACTGATTTTTAGTTCATTGCAATATGATCAGAAGTTACTTGGTAATATTTCAAGTCTTAAAAATTTGTTGAGACTTGATTTGTGGCCCAACATATTACTTTTCATGAAGAATAGGGGACTTTATTTTTAAATAAAAAAATTGGTAGTATTCAGTTTTTACAGCATATTTTGCTGCAACTCAGTATCAGCAGGGATTATAATAACAGTATGTTTGCTTCCAGGTATAATGGTAAGGGTTTCACAGGCAGAGAGCCCCTCCCTGGGGAAATCAACCTATGAAACTAAGCAAAGAACTAGCATGATAGAGACCAAAACTGAGCCAGGCACCAATAGCTCACACCTATAATCCTAGTTACTCAGGAGGCAGAGATCAGGAGGATGGCAGTTTGAAGTCAGTCCATGCAAATAGTTCCAGAGATCCTATCTCAGAAAAAACCCATCTCAAAAAAGGGCTGGTACAGCAGCTCAAGGTGTAGGCCCTGAGTTCGAACCCCAGTACTGAAGAAAAAAAATCAAAACTGATTATTACCTTTAGAAGAATTTTAAAAATGTATATAGAAAAGTTTTTGTTGTTTTTACTTTGTGCATTAACGACCAAGTTGTTCCTGTTATTTTGGGGGGAACAATTCCTTCCATTAATGTTCAATGAACACCTCACATGTTCTAACCAATAAGTCAGCTACCATACACATTTTATAGAATAAGACATCACCCTTCCCCTTTCTCTATTTGTGGTGCTTGGGGTTGAACACTGGGACTTGTGCACACTAGGCAAGTGCTCTACCACACAGCTATACTCCTTGTCCTGGAGGACACCTCATCTGAAGAGAAAACAATCATGCTAAAACATAATACAACAGGTACGTTGAAACGTTTCCAAGAACAGTGAGGAAACAAGATTCCCATGGCTAGGAAGTAAGGAAAGCTTTACCATGAAAATATTTGAGCTAACCATTAAAAAATGACCTGGAATTGGCAAAATACTGTTAACGGTTAAAACTTAGAGATGAGTAAATAGATTTTTACACAATTTCATTACTTCTGTATGTCTGAAAAGCTCCTCGCATGTTTCAATCAATAGTTTTAAAAAAGTGAATGGGGAGAAGAGTATGTCAGGAGAAGAAATGGTGTATGCAAAGGCACTGAAGCATGAAACAATGTGTGTCTGAAGAAAGATACTAACTTTAAGCTATATGTATTTAAAGAAACAGGGGTGAGGGCTAGAAAGGCATACAGCCTAAAGAAATCTGTCTTCACTTCTTTCCCACCTACCTAATACTAGATTATTTAAAGTCGAGACACTCATGAAATATTAGCTATAAATTCTTTCTGCAACCTAAAATTATTACAAATATTTAACATATATTCCTGAAGTACACAACTGACTATAAAGGAGGAAACCTCTGGCAGTGGACTTCTAAGCCTATCTTTAAATCACTCAAGAAACATTTGAGCCTACACCTCATAAGATGTGGCTCAAGTGGTAGAGCGCCTGCTTTGCAAACATGAAGCCCTGGGTTCAAATCCTAGACCTACCCCCCAAAAAAAAAATCCAGCTTCAGATTCTTTAATAAATGACAGAGAAAACAATTTTAGGAATGCAAGAATCAAAACTTAAGGTTATTTAACCAGGTATGAAGGAAGACATGCTTCTCTCAAATCTAAAATCCCAAATACGCTAGCTTTTCAGCGCTTGGACCGCTAGTGCATAATTGGTTCTGGCTTTCTCTGTCCTGCAGAACTGTTCAATGCCACATAATTAATACTTCAGTATACTGTGTTATAACTGCTTTAACAGTTCAGTGTTACACTGTTAAGACAATCACTGATACAGTGTCTGAGCCCAGCAGGAGGGAGGGCTGTACTTCCAAGTTCCAAACAGAACCTACAGTTATCCAGGCCCAGTGAACCTGAAGAGAATCATAAATATTCTCCCACCCAGCCGGAGAAGTATTGCCTCATCCCGGATCAAGGAACGGACGAGGAACCGGCAACTGGGACAAGGAAGTTAGGAGGGTACCATGACAAGGCAGGTTAAGGAGGAAAAGACTTTCTACCTCATTCATTCACCCTCACCATCTTATTTCTCCACCTTAGTAAAGCCAGAGCAAAAAAAAAGCACTGTATAGTACACATTCTGGTCTCTAAGTGCCATGTGTTTCCCCAAACTAGCAAAAATTGTCTTTATACTGAAGTATTGAAGCTTGAACACTTTTGAAAGTCAGCAGCAATACTGTAGTAAGAACCAATGGCCCCTTCCCAGGCTTTAATCTGGTAAGACTCTGGTGTTACTGATCACCTTCTCTTCTCCCTTACTGTACCATAAATTTCCTTTTCTTGTCTGTGCTCCAAAGTTCTTTGTAGCACCATAAACATCTTAGGAGCAGATGTCATGTTCCAGAAATATCTGAGTCTACCATGTAGCAGGTTACAGTATAAAAGTTAAATGACCCCTGTGATTTGTTCCTTTTGTATGTCCACTGAAGCCTTTTTACATTGAAAATGGTTACTAAGTCTCTTAACTGATTTAAGACAGATCAATTGATTTAAGCAGTTTTCAATGTTCTACTAACCCAAAAGGCCCAAGCAAAGTAAGAACAACTATGGCATCTTTTAGATTGTAAAACCAACAAACATGGAAGAAGAGAAACTTTTTTCACACGTTTTTCCAATTGGGTAACAGATTTAAAATTCCTCACTCCTTATTTTATTAAGAGTAAGTGCCCTTACTAAAGTTTTTCTCTCTGCACTTGCAGTTTCCTGTTTACAACTTCCACTTTATCCTGTTACTCATTTCATTTTTTTATAAGCTAAGCCCATAGCATTAAAAAAAATCTGCCTGGAAAGTTCTTCAATTGCATTTGACTGGTTGAAATAGGAGTGGTGGTTATTTTTTTTCTTGGGGAATTAGAAACCCTTTAGCTGTGAGTGGAAGGAAAGATTTGAGAAAAAAAACGGGAAAATGAAGTTTGCAGGCAAGAGTTCCTGGTTGCTAGTCTCTTCTTAAACAGAAAAGGAGGTCATTTTCTAGAGGGAAGGGGGAAGTTGAGTAAGTCTTGAGGATCCTAAAGATACGAATTAACCATTTAGGGGAATGGAAGACAGAGCTAAGGACAAACGAAAGAAATTAAAGACCCAGAAAAATAGAGAAGAAATAAAAGTTAGATATACAATACATCAGTCATTCCATATCCAATACTACAAAACAATGAAAATACAGAGCAAGTGAGGGTTTTGGAAGGAAAATGAGATGTATTTATACAGGACAAATAACCAGATTTTCTCAATACAACAGTATAGGAAACATGAAAATAACCTCAGCACAAGCAAATCAACCTGCACATCAAGTTCTGTTGTTGCTCTTTTCTACTGTACATTAATGAAGCAAGACTGAAAAACAATGGGGCGGGCAGTCAGGAATAATATGGAGGTCGGATGGTCCCTGTTTGAGGGCCATGAAACACTATCTGCCCGACGGAAGGAGCTTTCATCTGGGCTTTGACCAAATAGTTACTAATGATTTCAACATATTTGGGTGGGGAAGTAAAAGTAAAAAGAAAGACCAAAAAAAGGGGAGAAGGTCTGGGATAAATCTCCCCCCTCCTGTTGTGTTCACTAATTATCCGAAACTGCGCAGTACCACCATTGTATTTCTCTCCCAGCCCGCCCCCCACAAAAATCACAACGGCATTAGCCAAAATGCCCAAGTCGACAACACACAAAGTTTGTCAAAGCTTCATTAAAGTCCTAATAACCTAAACCTACTCGTTAAAGAGAATCACATTTTGAGAAGTCACGGGCAAATTAACGGATTCTAGGAATTGTGGTTAAAAATATCACAAAAGTATTAACATTGAACCATCAATTAACAAGCACCTGGTTATGTCAGAATCACACAGATCCTGAAATCCAGAAAACATATGTAGCCAGAACACAGTAGGCTCTCGATACACATCTTTTCAAACAAGAAGTGGGTCTGATATGAAAAGCAGCCAACGGAAGGAGAGGGGGCTGCAGCGGGGAAAAGGTGATCAAGTGTAAAATCCTGGCAAACCTATCACCAAGAGAATCTCTGTTCTCCCAACACAGGCCTATCTACCTACATCACAAACACGTCTTAACAAAACAAGGTCCAGGAAACACACACACACAAACTGAGCTATGGCGGGGGCTTTCATTTCAGGCAAGACAATGCTGGAACCAATCTGCATACACTGAGGTCCACTCTGAATTGTTTCATTAGGGAAAAGTGCCAGGAAGCACTGGGGAGTGGGGGGAGGGGGTTAGGAGGGAGGGCTATCGTTCCCAATGGCAGAAGTACAAAAGCATCCCAAACCGCGAGGTACCCACAACTCCCCACCAAAACTCTCTGTCCCTCCGCCCGCAACTCCTCTCCTCTCCCGAACTCGCTTTTCTCCTCGAATTCTTGGCACAGAACCACCCCATCCCCGCTCCTCTTCCGATTCCTGGACAAGTCTCCTTTTTCTAACTCCCCGCACTTTGTTCCGAGTGAAAGCATCCTAAAAAGAAGCACCCCAAACCTCCACGTCCCCGCCCCACCCAACACCCTACTTTCAGCCCCACCCCCTCCCCATCAGCCCGGACTCCCCGGACACCCGCACATGCGCACTCCCCCGCACAGGGAGCAGTCACCCCTGCCAGCCCTCCCGCTCGGCCCCTCTTACCATGTACCAGGTCCCCAGGATGATCGTCCCGGTGCGGACATGGCAACAGCCGCAGCACCGGGTGCTGTAGAACCGGTCGCTGCGGCTCCACTTGAAAGTCATGGACACCATCGGGAAGTTCTCGGGCCTCGTTCTTAGCCAAGCCCTTGACAAAAGCTTTCCGCCCAACAGTTGAAACCCGACAGCTCAGTCTCCAAAGCCAAACAACGACTCTCCAAGCCCGCGCCCACACCACCTCCTTCGCGCCTGCGCACTGAGCTCTCGCGCGACCTCGATTTATCAACTCTTCCTCCACCTTCCGCCACACACAGACCAATGGAGAGCGAGAGGTAGGATGAACCCGGCCTCTGATTGGGACAAATGAGAGATTGACAATACATCACGCCCAATCCAAAGTGCGATTAGCCACAGTGCTGTTCTGTTCTTGAAGGCAAGGGTCAGTATGTCCAGGATAGTTTGAGTTGAAGACAACCTGGTAGTTCACCGCCCCGAGATGAGACAGGCAAGAGTCATTTAATAGGGAAGGGAGAAACGAGATGGAGTGGACGGCAGAAAACGGGCACGAAGGGCTTTTCTGAGCGTTCACTTTGCCACGTTGTCTTTGTCATGAGACTGGGCTGCTCACGTGACCCGTGCGCGCAATTCCATTGTTGGGTTGGCTGGGGGCGGTACCTGTGGGAAGGGGGCGTGGCCACGCCTTTCTGGAGCGGTCTTCGGGTTCTGGCGGAAATTGAAGGTTCCCTGGAGGCTAAAAGGGATTAGATTTCTGCCCGTCCCCTTCGTTCTGAAGCCTACTTGGGGGGAGCAAAGAAATACCGTTCAACCTTGCCAAAGGCGAAAAGATTAAGAAAAATGAAAGCAAGATAAAGTGGAAGAACTGCTTAGCTATTGTGTTTTTACAATTTTTTTTGTAGGGAAAAATTGTGAGCATGTTGAAATGGATCAAAAGATTTTTGGGTGTCTTCACTGAAAAACCAGCCATAGTCTTATACACTCTTCTGCTTATTCTGATTCTCGGGGGCTCCCTACGTTTAACTGGGTGCTCTGTACTTTTCTGTAAGACTTGTTCACTGGGCTCCATATTGCATCTTACCCCTCCTTGGATAAAGCTATTTGGCATCGATTTGTAAATTGAGTTTTCATTCCTACTTCAACATCATAGGTGAGTGTTTTAAATTCTCCTTAGAATCATTTCTAAAATCTTACTGGACCCCTCAGTTAATGAGTAAATAAAATCTTTTGACACCTGTCCATTTCGTATGAGACTTGTGACTACCTTGGGAAAAGGTATTGTCAGAGTACATCACAATGTCAGTTGTGGGTAAAAAAATAGACATAAACAAATACTGAATATTGACTATCTCAGAGAACATTGAAGTATGTGTATTTGCAGAAGGTAGGGAAGGAGGAACAGAAGACAGTTCAAGGCTGATACAGATATGTCTTGTTGGGGATTTAGAGTGCTGTAGAAGAATTTACCAACAAAAAGCAAATAGAAGAAAAGTTAATTAGGACACTGAGATAAGTAGTGGGCAGCTGAACACAAAGGAGTATAGTCCTGATATGAGGGTTGGGGCAGGTTTATTAATGCAGAGCAAAACAAAGGGTGCACCCTCTGGCAGGAGTGTGGGCAGACTCAAGGAGAACTGCACTGGAGGTCCCAAGACCTCAAGCTTTTATTGGGGTCAGTCCTGGAAAACTGGGTTATGTGTCATTGACTGAGCTCTGTGTCATCAACTCCCAAAGTTGGGCAGGCAGAGCTTATAGCTTTGGATGGTCAGACTAGGGCTGTTATTTTATTTTATTTTATTTTATTTATTTATTTTGTGTGGACTTCAAGGGCTGCAGGTCAGTCAAGACCTTGCCCTCTGTCACAAACCATTCTGTTAACATCAGCAATCTAGGATGTGATTCCTTATCAACATCCAAGCCATGGTTTTCAGCCAAGTTTCCTAACACCCTGCCTATCCCCCATCATGTCTATTGTTTTAAAATACTGAACTGTGCATATACTAGGATGGAAAGAAAGCTGAAAGCACTGTATTGATCATCTTTTGCTGGGTAGTAAACCACTACAAAACTTAATGACTTCAAATAAACTTTGTTTTTTGTTTTTTAATTTCTCACAAGTCTGTGTATAAATGGTGTTTCCTCTGGTTTGAGTGAGTTCAGTTGAACTCTGTGGTCAGCTGGCAAACTGAGCTGAGGCTTGAATGGTCTAGAATGTTCACACATGCCTGATAGTTGATCCCATGTCCCCTGGGGTGATGGCCATGATTTGTCCATTTGTTCCTCATCATCAAGCCAGCTGGCACAGGCTCCTCCATGAAGTTTTTGTAGGGTTTGCAAATAACAGTGAAAGGGCATGCCCAAGGCACTAGTGTCTTTCAGGTGTTGGTTTTCTTTTTGAGTGCTTGTTCCATTGGTGGAAATGAGTCACATGGCTAAGCCCAGATTAAAGGGATGAAAAACTAGATTCTTACTTCTTGATGTGGGAGATGCAATGTCACATTACAAAGAGAGGTGACCACAGAGATGGGAAGAATAGTGGCCATAGCAACAAAATAACAAAAAAAGGAAGTAGGGAAGTAGGGTAGAGGAGTGAGGGAAGTGAAGAGAGTAGCAAAGGGAACTACTGGATTTTTACTATAAGCCTTTAAAATAATTTCATTCTGAAAACTATGTGCATGTATTAATTTGATTAATTTAGAATGAAAGGGAAGAGGTCACCAACAGTGTCACATTCCTAGAAGTATCTAGTAAAAACATAAGTGAATAAATATTGTATTGGCAACTCTTGACCTTGGGGGGCTGTTAGTGAGGGTTATAAGACTAGGTTCAATGCAACAGTGATGATGGGGGGTAAAGGGTAGGCACTAAGGGTAAATATTTTTACAAGAAATAAGATCATAAAATGAAGGAGAGATAAATAGTACTAACTAGAAGGGGATGCAGGTTTGACACACAGCATGTCAAAAAACCCCAAATATAGACTGAGATTGGTCTGTGTGTCCATCTGATACAGGAGTTAGGGAGTTAGGAACCCTAATGGCTGTGAGCAATGTCTTGAATATTGATAAGGAATCATGTCTTTGCTGCTGACATTAATGGAACAATTTGTGACAGACCACTGGGTCTTGCTGACCTGAAGCCCCCACAGCCTAGTCTCACCATCCAAAGTCAAGAACTCTCTGCCTGACATATGGAAGGAGTCCATGACACATAGACTATGCTCCAGAAGTTAATGGCACCATTAACCGAGGTGTCTAAGACTGATCACCTCCATGTTGGCAGACCCAATAAAAACTGAGGTCTTGGGACCTCTAGCCTGTGTTCCTTCTTGAGCCTGCCCATTCTCCCATCTACAGAATGTACTTTTCCTTTGCTTTGCATCAACAAACCTGCTTAAGTTTCCTCTGTGTCCTTGAATTACTCCTCTGGGGAGACCAAGAACTTTCTGGCACCTGGAAACACATCTATCTACTCTTCCTTTCATTCATCCATCCATCCATCCCTCCCTCCCTCCATCCATCCATCCATCTACCTTTGCAACTGTCTTTCACTTTGTTTTTCTGATGTTCATCTCGGAATTGGTTTAAAAATAGCAATTTCTTAGAGACTGCACTCAGTGTTCATCTGGCTAAATTATCTAATTAAATTATTAAGTTATCTAAGTCAATGGTTCCCAAAGTGTGGCCCACTAAACTCTAGAATCCCCAAGACTCTTTTAGAGGGTCTGCAAGTTCAAAATTGTTTTCATAATTATATATTATTTGCCCATATCACAGTGTTGATATTTGCACTGATAAAACTGAGGCAAACAAGGTCAAACTGAGGCACCTTCTTATGAATCAAGACAGTGGCACCAAATTGTACTGTATTGATCACTGCCCTCCTTACTACTGCATGTAAGCAATGAGAAATGCTAGTTTAGGTGAAGCATGTTCTTCATGAACCAAAAAAATGACTTCCTTTGTGATGTTAGCCACTGAGAACACATCTTTCTAAATGTTCTGGGTAACAAAGTGGGAAGTACACAGAAATAGGAGAGGCTGATCTGGCTCTGGCTTGCTTTTTTCATGGAGTACCATTTTGTCTTGAAACAATGCCATAGGAAAATATTAATAGCTCAGGCATGAGCACTCAGCAGTCATCACCTTGGAAATGAATGAAATGAGCCTATCCCTTCAAGGAAAGCAATGAGAGTACTTGTTGCTAGAGATACAATCACAGCTTTCAAGAGGAAAATTTGAATCTTAGAAGAACTTGTATATACCACCATGAGCTTGACAGTAATAATTCAACATTGTTGGGATGAGATAAGAGGCAAAATAATGTGATTTTTTTATATTGTGTAATGTTTTCAACATTTTCCTCTCTGCATAACTCAGTGAACCAACACTTACCAAATAGCCAATGCAAAAGGTTATAAAATCACATAAGTATGAGTCAATCAAAGACAAGAAAGATTCTGGTGCTGGAAACTGAACTCAGAGCCTTGCATATGCTAGGCAAGCATTCTACCACTGAGCTATATCCCCAAACCTAGACCAGTGACTTTTCATATAGCAATATGAAAAGTTTATTTATTCCACATTTCTACTGACCTTTAAGGAATTACCACTTAGTAAGTGGTGTAGAATTAAAGAATAGCCATGAACATATATGGGCACTTAAATTACTTTTAAAAAATATTTTTAAAAATTGAAAAGGCATTTTTCTAACTACTATATCTGAGCCTGAATTTCCTCATATATTTCAACCAAAAGACCATGTCACAACAGACTGAATGCAGAAGCAGATGTGAGAATCTAGTTATCTTTTATCAAGTCAAACATTAAATGGATTTGCAAAATACAAAACAATGCCACTCTTCTCACAACTTTATTCTAATTAACTCATAAACAACATCAAAACAGCTGGCTTAAGGAGGCCACATAAACATTCACCCATCCCGAGTTCCATACCTTCTCAATTAACTTCCATACAACCAGAACACCCTCTTCCACTGCTATTCTAAAGCAAGGAAACTGTTACTAACTCAGTGATTTACCTGATGGCTTTACGCTTTGTGTGTGTGTGTGTATGTGTGGTACTTGGGGGTTGAACTCAGGACTTCACGCCAGCTAGGCAGACACTATTGCTTGAGCCATACCCCTAACCCTTCTTGGTTTAGTTATTTTGGGATTAGGGTCTTACATTTATGACTGGGATGGCCTGGCCCACAATCCTCCTATTTATGCTTCCTGTGCAGC